TAACCATTATCGATATGGTTAAGAATTGACTGTCTAATCAAAATAATTGAGCACAGTTTTAAAGTTATAATATTACCTTTGTCCAAATACTAAAAATTACTTCCTCCGTCCTTAAAAAGATTGTCAAGTTTGACCGGCACGTAGAATAATAAAGTAAAATCTATGTGGTAGAGATTTGTGCAGATGAGAGAGAAATAACAGAAAGCACAAATTGATTGACTAATAGGGAAAGTGACAAAGTTTTTGAGACAACCAAAAAAGGAAAGTTGTCAAAGTTATAAGGGGCGGAGAGAGTATGTAGTTGAGATTTGTGCAGATGAGAGAGATGTGTCGAACCACAGATTAGTTACTTTAATAGGAAAGTGACAAAGTTTTTTGGGACAACAAAAAAGAAAAGTTGGCAAAGTCCGATGGGACGGAGGGAGTAACATCTTGAGTGATGCTAGAGATACAAACACTTTTACAAAAAGTCTTACAAAAGGGTATGTGGCATCATCACATTATTTAACACATCACATCACATTTACAACACTTTTATATCAATGATAATTAGAATAGCCACATCATTAGTTTTTTTGTAAGTGTCTTTGTACTTCTAGCATTTTTCTAACATCTTTGATATACATATATACACACAATTAACCGCCAATGGAACCAAAGTAAGACAAAGTAAGAAAACTTTGACGTCAATTAATTTCTACGGAGTAATATTCTTATTTGTCTTTTCTCTATACAAATTTCAACAATGATTGTTACTCTATTAATTTTAGTGAAAAATAATTTAAATACTCTAAACTTTGAAAAGATGTGATCTAAGCACTCCAAATTTTCATATGTAATATTTATACCCCGAACTTTATATAAAAAGTAATATTAGTACCATGAACATATGTTATTTTCTTTCAAATATAAATTTATGACGCTTTAACTACACCACTATAAATGTTTAACTATTTTAAACCACATGCTTAACCCCATAAGTTTACGTTTTCGAACAAAAAAATACATAGTAATGGTGATAACATAATTTTTTATGTAAAGTTCAGGGTATATATATATATATATATATTACATATGTAAATCTCGCTCACACTATTTTAAAATTTGGGTATTTAAATTATTTTCCCCTAATTTTTATCCAATCAAACTTGATAAAGTTTCTAGGACGGCGGAAGTGTACCTATTCACCTAAATCTATTTCTCAACACAAAAAGGTTGAATCTCCCTTCAGAAAGATCTTCACATCCCAACAGACAAAGTGACGAATATATACACAAAAACATATCCTTCAATTTGATCAATGTTCCAAAAGGTTGAATCTACAACTCTGAGGCCCCTCACACCCGACAAGACATTTGGGAGAATGTAAGTCACAGTGACTCATCCGATCCGGTCCAATGATGATAGACCTTCATGGTTTCATCATATACTTTTTTTTTACCAAAACCAGAGTTGACTAGGACCTCCCTGGCTACACCATATATACATGTTGTTAAACTATTTGTCTCATACCGGAAAGTTATAAAATAATAAAATACTACACAAGACTTTGGGCTACTCTTCCTATCAGGTTGACCTTTTAGGATAGAACATCGAGTCTTAACACATGTCGCCTTAAGACCATATAGCATACTACTGCCACAAAATTATCGTGTCCAAAAAAGAAGTATCATAATGATGATGACTATGACTGTTATGATAACTATGATTATTATGATGATAATTTGTTATCGAATAATGAACGCATATAGAACAATGATTCGTATCTTTCATGTTAAGAATGTTAACTTTGTTCTTAATTAACAAAAGACTTACTGAAATCTTTCAACAAATCTTCTAATCTATTTTCTCTCAAAACTTGAAATTTATCTTTTTTGTTCTTAATCAAGATCCCAATCTCAAGAATATAAAATCAGTTTTTTATTTTAAAAAATTTGACAACATATTCATCAATTACAATGCTTTTTCATCAACTATGCAATAAAAACAAATTAATAACCCTCTATCATTTCTACCAAGTTACTAGCAATGTCTATTGATTATAAATCACTTTCATCATCAAATATATTATCTTATTCTTGTACTATAGGAGTCAAGAACATGTCTAAGTGCATGAAATTGATCTTCTTTATAAATCTGTAGTCATGTAGATGTCTTATACGGAGTAACAATTCACATATGCTAAACCTTTGAGAAATTTATTAACTTGTCTAATAGTTACTCCAACCGTCCCATTTTATATGTCTTACTTTCCTTTTTTAGTTGTCTCAAAATAAGTGTCACTTTTCCTTTTTTTGGAAAGAAATATGTGGTTCGTTCTCACAATATTTTAATTTACTATACTCAAATCTCAACCACAATTTTTACCTAGTTTTTCTACCACTTTATTAAAAGTTGTGCCAAAATAAAAGGAGACACATAAAATGGGACGGAGTTAGTATATTTTTTTTATCAGGATAGGGCACTAGTTTTATTATAAACACTACTACCTCTGTCCCCCTAAATTTGGGACCTAAGGGTGTGATGTGGTTTTTAAGAAAAAGTATAATTGTTTAGTTGATATTAAATTGATAAAGTGTGAATAAGGTAAGAATAACAAACATTTAGTCTATGCAAAAATATTATAAGAAACAATGTATCAATATGAAAAAATGTATTACGAAAAAAGTATATAATACAAATAAAATTACAAAAATAAAAATTGTGTATGAATGTGAAGTATTTTGCACTTTCACTTAAACATTTAGACTATCGTGCTTTGTTATGGAGCTAGCATAAATAAACCGTGAATTGACATATCGAAATATCGAATTAGCAGCATACCTGAAAAACATATTGCAACTTGTAAGCTCCTTTTCAGTCGGAAGTCCGAATAAAATTAAAAGTACTCCAACTCTCCCGAAATTACAATATTCAAAGATGGAAAATGGGAAAGTAATCCTTTTTGTATGTCACAAAATTAAAATCTCCTGTCCCCGATCTCCAAACACAAGTTTGAGTACAAATAGGATACCATCCTTAACAAATACTCATTCCGTCCCCCTAATATTGGTACGGAAGAGTGTTGTGTGGTTTTTAAGAAAAGTAGAATTATGTGTTTGATATTGAGTTGATAAAGTGAAAATAAAATAAGAATGAATTATAGCCACACAAATGTTATCAAATATGGCATGAGACAATAATAAAGGGACATCCAAAAATGAAAAATGAGACAATTATAGGGGGTCGGGGGAATATACAAATACATGTACATGTTTGATTTTAAAATGGAAAAATGAAAATTAATAATCCAACATTTTAACGGTTTTCATTCATTGGTCCCATTTTATCGTTATTCATGAATAATCCAACTTTTGCACATCATTTTTATTCGTTGGTCCTTGACCCATTGATGATCTGCTATTACAGGTTTTTTTATTTTCTTTGCAAATCATTCAACTATAAATCCCACCTTTTATAAATCTTCACCAAGCGATCCCAGATGTAATTTTTTTTCTTCCTAAAACTTTTCCTTTTTTATTTTTATCGTCTTGACTCTTTTATTCCTCCTTTTTGTCTTCTTATTTTTTTTATTACTTTTCAATTTTTTTCCAATGTTTATGCATTCCATTTTTCTTTCTTTTTCTTCTTCTCGTTTATTATTTCATTTTCATTTATATATTTTTTCCGGATTACTTTCCTTATAAAAGATCTTTTTCTCACCGTACTAACTTTTTACTTTATTTTCTTTTTACTTACACTTATTTATTTCCTTTTTCCTTTTCTTACCTTTATTCTACTACTAATATATATGCGAGAATTAGAGAATTAGAATCATATAAATATATTTAAAATATAATACTCCATCCGTCCCAATTTACTTAGTCATCTTTGACTTTTTCAGACAAAGGTGGTAAACTTTGACCAATTATTTAAACTAATACGGAGTATATTTATGCAAACTTTAATAATTTTATACTTTTATGATAACATTTTTAACAAAGAACATTTTCGTATCATTTTCATATTATTAATACTTTCTCTATATAAACATATAATTGGTCAAAGTTAAATGTCATTGACTTTAAAAGTCAAGTTTGGGTAAGTAAAATGGGACGGAAGGAGAATCTAAAATCTTAATGATAGAATTAAAGATGATAGAGGGAAGGATGACACTAATACTGTTGGGGAGAGGCTATTTTTTAAGCGAATTGACTCGAATTAATTCTCACTTCCAAGTAAATATGATCTTAACTACTTGATTTGTATTGCTTTTAAAGTTGGGGTAATTTGAATTTGCACCTCATTTTATTGTCAAAATTGGATTTTGCACTCCGTTTTTTAAAACTTTGGTTTTGCACCCCAACCCCTTATAAAAAGAATATGTCAAAGGTAAATAGAATTGTTAATGGAGGGGTCATTTTCGTCTTTTCATATGGGATTGAGGTGCAAAAACAAAGATTTTTTAAAACAGGGTGCAAAGTCAAATTTCAACAATAAAATATGGTGCAAACTCAAATTACCCCTTTAAAGTTTTGTTTCGGGTCCAATTCAACATAACCTAGGGATGTAGGAGTGATATTTCATTCTATTTCTTCTGGGAAAAAATCAATCTCTCATAAGTAGCACATTCAATCGTTTACTATGTAATCTACATTATGCTACGAGTATTTGGTAATATTGAATATTCAATTATTTAACTATTTTATATTGAAATTCTTTGAATTATGAAAAAAGTTATATTCAAAATAAATTATGCACTTTAATAATGAAATAAAGAAAAAACGTGAAAAACAACTGAAATGAGCCTAATAATACAATTCAAATAGAAAAACAATTTCATCTTTACTTGTATCGATTGTTACACAATTCATGAAGCGTAAAATGAAATGGTAAGTATTTGATAAAAGAATCTGAAAAGATGATGTATAAGTTGATAATATGAAAATAAAAGTTATCAAAAGATATATGTTACTGCTAACAAATTAAAGTAATATTATAGTGAACAAATATATGGAGTGCAGAACAAAATAAATTTATGAACACCATCAGAATAGAATTACTCATTAATACTACTATTACTAGATGTATTTACATTGATCAGCGGAGTTATTAATTAATCAAAAATACAGTCAAGAAGAGAAGTAATTAATGCTGAATACACTAAGAAAATTACAGTAAGAAGTCTGCTGGTCTGGATCAAGAAAGTAGGCCATCCTTTGCGCCTCTGATGTGTGCCCCACAAAGACCACCATGACAGACGGTGGGCCCACTCCGGTATCAAATCACGGGGGGAATGACCATGTGAGCTTCACTCAGAAAGTCAGAACCTGTGACATAAACACACTCTCTCTCCCGCGCCACCTCAAGGACCACCATCGCTGTCTCCTCCACCAGCGTCTCCGCCACGTAACGTTCAATCTCGCCGACTATAGAGTCCATCGCCGTGTTGTCATCTTCTTCGTCTCCCTCCTCGTTCATGTATTCCAAACCCTTGCAATCCGCGGAGGGCAGTTTTCGAATTTCCGAACAGAGCATCTCAACCAGCTCCGACCCGTTCATGGGATTCAGCCGTAGTTTCAAGATTCCGGCGAGGAGTTCATCCGCCAGATGAAAAATCAATCTTCTGTTACACCGGAGCTTCATCTTCGAGTGGTGGAAGAGTTCCATGTACTGGAAAATGGAATGGTCCAAAGGGTTGGAGCAAGAGTGCCATTTTGCTAACGACACCGGCGTATCATGATCGACGCCGGCGCGCTTCAGTACTCTCTGTATGTACTCAAATTCCGCATCGTTTCCGGACGGCGGATCGCCGCCTTTCGCGGTGGGAGCAGTGGGCTTGCAAAACCGGCTCTGAGAACTAGATAACTGCGAGTCTCTTTTTGGTACAAAAAGGACATCCGTTGCCTGCCATACAATGAGGAGATTCATATAAATTCGACGTAAAAATCGAATCTTTAGAGTAATAGGGTGGGTTTGCTTTAACAAGTATAGATTTCTTCATATTTAGATACCTGTTTTTGATGCGATTTTCCCGGTAACGTGGGGAAAGGCAGCCGGTCTTTCTTCCTTACCGCCGGCCTTAATATGTTAGGAACGTTGTTTGGAATTGACAGAGGAGTTGCTCTCTTACAACCTTTCTTGTTTTCTTGATTTGTATTCGCCGGACGAACGAACGGTTCTTCCTTTTTCGGCGGCTGTTTCTTTGGGGGTTGATTTTTGTAGGACGTGACTATATCAGAACTCTGTAAGTTCAGCTTTTGGGAGTGATTTTCTTTACTTGTTGACTTAGAAATGGGTTTTTGAGGCTGTTTTATGGGAGGGTTCTCTGTTTTTGGGGACACTAACCTAGGAGAGTGATTCTTGGTGTGGGTAAAGTCGTCGTAAAAATCAAGGAATGGTTTATTAGGCTTGAGCAAGACAACCTGATCAGTATCAAGCCGGTGCTCTTTCCGGCCAACGTTGCGGTCTTTGGTGGTGTAATTAGTTATGTCTTGACCAACTTTTCTGCTGACACTCTCTTTCACATACTTCACCATTTCGCTCACATTCTCTCTGTGCTCTCTGTTCCTATTCCTTTTCTCCGCTATTGATGAAGAAAATCTACCCCTGCCCATTTCATCTTCACTTCCCAAAATCATGTTCTCTTTGTTAATCTGCAATGAAAGCCTGTGATGGTTATGGTGGTGGCGGTGGTGGCGGTCTCCGTCTGACTTCCTCGCTAAAGACCCTCTCGGGGTTTCGGGCAGCGATGACGTCCCCGATCGACGGTGCTGGTCCCGGAGGAGGTATCTTGCTCTGTCTTCTCTTGAAGAACACATTGAAGCCGGGGAGCAGCCATTGTTATTCTCAGGGAGAAGGTCAAGACCCATCAGTCTTGCCACCAGACTAGGCGTCTTGGCCCCTCCCGGGGAGGAGGAGCTACATTCTGAAGAAGAAAGATCACAACTTGTCCTGATTTGATTAATCCCCACCTGATAAGCATGAAATATTCCCTCATGATCAGTAAATTACCAATTGAAACTAATTGACTGTGTTAAACTACAATAAAGATTCTCAGTTCTGACTTCTGGCCCCTTCTCTCCTACACCCAAATGGCTTATTGCAATAGTAATTATTACTATTATTATAAGGAGGGATATATAATAATTAATGGTAAGGATAAGGATAAAACATAGAGCAACGGTAACTTACAGAGACATTGTTCAAAATTTTTGTAGCTTGTTCCTCTTTTTTCAAGGTTGACCACATGGTCTTCGAAGCAGTTTTTACCCGCAGCGGTTCTCCCAACTCCAAGCTGTTCCTCGGTGCTTCAACACCTGCATTAATAGTACCAACTTTTACACGACCATTTTTAACATTACAGCTAAAAACTATGAAAAGTAACAAGAAAAATCGAACCTTTAGTGGTGGGCTCAAAATGGTGGTCGTCATGAAGAAAGGGTGAAATGGGGTTGAAAGACCGGTGGGGGTTCAGAGGAGGCAAGTCAAAGATGTGAAGAACAGCATACATGCAGCCAGTGGTGGCCGCTGGTGTACGTTCTTGGCGGTTGGTTTCCGGCTGCTTCCTCAACTCTGTTCTTTTCTTGGAGAAGGACGACCCGGACCTTCCTCTTCCGCCGCCGCCGCCCCAAGAGAACCAGTCTTTACCCATTCACGCTGTTTAAAAATCTGGGATCTTTTTTGTTATATGATTGATACGCAGAGTATATATATATGCCGCGGCATGTAGAGCAGAGACTAGCTTTCGTATGTATCAGAAAAAAGGCAGATGAGGGGGGAGTTTGAAAAGGAAAATCTGAGTGATAATGACACCAAATGGTACAGTATAAAATGAAGAAGAAAGAAAGGAAGAAAAAGAATGAGTTAGACTAAAAAGCTCTATCTCTCTCTGTCTCTCTCTATATCTCTCTACTGTGATTCTTATCTTACAGAGACTATCACTCACTCCCAAGCAGAGAGAGAAAGATAAAGAGGAAAGGAATACATACGGCGTAGATACAAATGGATGGGGCGGGCGGAATAGCCGCTGTGGGTTTTAAATACGAGGTGTTATTATTGTATTTTGGGGATCTTTGTTTTCTTCGCTTTTTTGAATCTTAAAGTTTCTCCCTTATTCCCTCCACTTTCTTGACCATGCACCTACCCCCAGTCAACTCAGGTTTGGTGTGGTTCAACCCTGGTCAATCTTGATTTGGGCTCTTGCTGGTTTGCATTTCAGAAAGTAAGGAAAAATGACATTCTAAAGTTGGCCATTTTAGCTTTGTTTGTTTCTTAAATCAAGATTACATATTTACTTTTACCCTTCCCATCTAAGAAGAATCAAGAATGCATTATTACCTGGCCTATATACAAGGTGAATGTGAGCAACCAAGTCAATAAATCATTACTTCATAAGAGCCGGTTCACTAAGGTTAGATTGGATCATTGGATTATCAAAATATGTTTAATCTTGTTTATTTTAAGTATAAGATTTCATCATTCAATGGTTACGAATGAATGGAATTTTAACCTTTCATTCATATAAATTAAACTTCCTTTCAAATTTCACACGGTAGCCAGTAGGTAGAGGCAAATCTAGTGAGCTTGCATTAAAAAAAAATCATAAATATTTTTACTATCATAAACACAAAACTCATTGTTGTAAGTACACAATTCTTTTGGGATTAAGACTTAGATGTTGTTGTAAACACACAACTCATTGTCATCTACAAGGAAGATAAGCAAACTGCTATCATCTTTATTGCCCATGAAAATAGAAGGGAATTCAAGAAACACATCCTCATAATCTATCTTCATTTTGATTTGAGTGATATGTTTCAGTTCCAATTGCTTCTAGTTCATAACATATTACTCGATGGAGTATAAGTATGGATTCATTACCCACAACTCACGAGATATCTTGACCAGACCAACAAGCAATAAGTTGTGCCCCTCGGCCCGATAAGGGCACCGTGACACCAACACTCAAAGCAACATAGATCTCTCACCAACAATAAAAAGACATCACCCTTCTCCATCATCCTTGTAGCCATGCACCCTCGGCCACTTTCTCCACCAACAATAAAACGACATCACCACACTCTGTCATCTGCACATGGACATGGTATTAATTATACCCCCTCGTCCATCATATGCTGAAGACCTTCGCTCATAGAGTAGCTAACACATGTATTAGCATGTATGCGCTTAACATTTATTACCACTATAAATAGTCTTGTTTATTAGACTTTTGTTATGGGTTAGAAATTCATTTTTTGCAAGAGATCTTTATATTTCTATACCTACTCATTCCTACGCTCTATTTTATTTCTTCACTACCCTTTCATCATCGCCTCAATAATGTCCATCATCACTGCTTGCTTGTCGAAATACTTCACTTCTCTATAATTGATTACTTCCCTTGAGAAGTAAAGGACATCCATGGATGATAAGAGAAAGCTTCATGTATTGAAAGCGAAGAATACGACGAATGCGTACAAAGAAAAACACAAGAAATTGATTTTCCAAACAATTCTTATCTATCTGACCATGCAAACATCATACTATCTTAAAGAAAAATAGATCAGGGATTCAGGGATGCTCATAAGTCATAACAACTTAGCTGCGTGCGGATATCTGGAGAAGATAGGATTATATGATATAGGGATATCTTAAAATGGGGGCATACTAATCCATATTAATTAATTAATTATTATTTATTAATTACTACGTATGTATCATCATTAAATAAGACCAAATAAGTATTAAGTTTTGAAAAAATAGTAATTCGTTCCTTTTTAGTTAAAATCTTTATGTGTTTGAATAAACAAATAAACAATTGCAAGTTTTTTTATTTATTTATTTACAAAACACAATTTTAATTAGTGATGGGGTTATGGGACTAGGCCCAGAGCCTAATCGGCCCAGGCCCCGGACTTGGACCAGCAGGTCCAAGCCCAGTGATCCAGAGCTCGTTCCGGCTCAACCGATCAGGCCCATCAAAGAGTGAAAGCCCAAGGCGGCATGCCTTCTAGCCCAGCAGGGAGCCTGCCTACCAGTCCAGTCAGCAGCCTGCCGTCCAGCTCGGCCAGCGGCCTGCCTTCCAGCCCAACCAGAAGCCTGCCTTCCAGCCCAGCCAAAAGCCTGCCTTCCAACTTGGCCAGGCGCCTGCCTCCAGCATAGCAGGAAGCCTACCTACCAGCCCAGTCAGCAGCCTACTTTCCAGCTCGGACAGGAGCCTGCCTTCCAGCCCAGCAGGAAGCTTGTCTTCCCGCTCGGCCAGCGGCCTGCCTTCCAGCCCAGCAGGAAGCCTGCCTTCCAGCTCGGCCAATGGACTGTCCTCTAGTCTAGCGGGGAGCCTGCCTACCTGCCCAACCGGAAGCCTGCCACCCGAGGAGCTCAAGCATTCAGCCTGCTAGCCAGGCCGACCTGTCAGCCAGCCAGGAAGAGTAACGGTCAACAATCAATGCGCGATTTAATTATGTGTTTAATTTCGTATTAATGTTGTAATTAATTTAGTCATTATTATGTTTGGCAGTTACCATTTGTAATCGCCTATAAAAGGCAATTCGAATTTCAAATACAGATAAGCTATTCTTGGCTACCAAATTCCCTTAGCACTTTCTCGTTCTTGCTTTCCTAATTCCTGCTTGAGTGTCGTACGTAGCTTTCCTAAAAGCCTACGAGCGCCCTATTTTGGGCCAACATTGGTGCTTTCATTGAGAGTTGTTATTGTCTTTCAGATCACTTTAGTAGGAATCACAAAGAATGCCAGAAAGATTGTTCTCGAAATCTCAAAAGAGATGAACAAAACATAAGAATCTGGAATTTCAATTGAACGAAAGTTGTGCTCACCATCCAGGGCGATAATGCACCGAATGCTGCACCTGATTTCGCCACTAACACTGGAGAGTCATTGTTGAGATCATGCCAGCACTGCTCTGGATCCCTGGTCCAATTCCCATTCTCCTAGCGCCTAACAAAGCTTTCAGTCCAAAAAAACATTAGCACATCTGAATGTGATGTCGTAGAGGTCAACCAATCTAATGCTCTTGTCTCAAAATTTTGAGCGAACTCGACCACAAGATAAGTGCTAAAAATCTCTCCTACGGTTATTTAGCAAAAAGATTTTAAAAAAAATCATAGATTGAAACATTTGAAAAGATATTTTAAGTGATATGATTGCATTTACTCTTGTTAAGTGTGTGTAATTTTAACATTGAATAACAGACTAATGAAATCTTATCACTCAAGTACGCCGGACGAGCACACACACTCGTACACTAGCCGAGCACACACACTCGCGCCACCGGGTCACGTCATACGGGTGTGACGATTAATAAGCTCCAATATAAATGTTAATACCGCACACTCTTGACTTCATACGAGTTCTCGTGTGCTCTTACCCCTTCATAGTGCATCACACTCCGACCTCGTGGGACGAGTCACCCCTTCAAAAGTTTTTACTTGCGGGTTCGAACTACTAACCTCGGGCGGCGAGTTAAACTCTTGTTAGGGGCCTAGAGCCACGCTCTTCCAAGCAATTTTGTCACTTAATTGACACTCACATTTCTCGAAAAGGTTGATATGCTTTAGTTATTTGGGGTTAGATTATCCATTCGAGTGAGGAGTCCGACTCACTTACTCGCGGATTCAATCTCTCTTTCGGAGACTGGGTTAAGGCCTAACTTGGGAACTTGATGTCACTTTTTTTCAAGTAGTGAGTCCGACTCACTTACACACTGAGCCGTGTTTCCACACCAGGCCAGATGCCCTATTCTACACTAGTTTCTTTTATGTGTAGGTACAACTGAATGAAGTGGGGGACTGAGGGTCTTGCCATCTTCAAGGAAGCAAATGACGAACCTGACGAGTGTGTGCCCGATGAGAAGAACAGTTCTAGCCATCCTATTCGCAGATGGCGACCACTGCAATAAAGGCTGAGGATCTCACATCTTGCTTCATCTTGGGGCGTCAGATGTACTCTTTTTCCCTTCATTAGGATTTTATCCCATTGGGTTTTTCCCAATGATGGTTTTTAATGAGACATCTCCCCAACATGGACAAGGGCGGAGATCTTCTAGTCTCAGAGAAGAGCAACTGACTTGGACTACTCCCTCTTAGCCGAGTCTACTACTCGACTAAGGGAGTGGGGGACTGATGATGGAGTAATGAGACTAGGCCCAGAGCCTAATCAGCCCAAGCCCCAAATTTGGACCCGTGGATCCAAGTCCACAACCTGGCGCCTGCCTGCCTGTACAGCGGGGAGCCCACCAGTCCGGCCGACCTCCCAACCCGAAAGAGTAACGGTCAAGCAATTAATGCACTGTTAATTATGTATTTAATTCCGTATTAATGTTGTAATTAATTAGTCATTATTATCGGTAGCAGTTACGATTTGTATACGCCTATAAAAGGCGGGCTGTAATTCAGATTAGGAAAAAAGGAATTCTATATGCTATTTCTGGCAACTAATAAATCTCCTACCGACTTTTCATTCTCATTCTTGCTTTCCTAATTCTTGCTTGAGTGTCGTACATAGCTTTCCTAAAAGCCTACGAGCGTCCTATTTTGGACCAATAATTAGATATGATATTTATTTTCTCATAAGAATATAGGAAAGTAATAAACAAGTCTCATTGTTTCCTTTCTTTTAGCTTTTATACTATTTACAAATCTTGTAAAAGCATCTAATTATATATATGTTTGACACGACAATATTTATAATTGTTTTTTAAAAAAAGATCGTTTTTGAGAATCTACAATGAATATCATCTAAGAGAAAGTTTGTACGGGATATCTTTTAGCATTAATTAGTCACAATCAATGTTTTAAAAGAGGTTAGGCACCAGTCAAACGCTTAGCGCCTAGGTGGCTAGGCGGGCACCTAGGCGGAGGCTAGTCGGAGACATAGAACTTATAGTTTTATAAATATTTTTGTGTGTATAAAAAAATTGTACACACACATACACATTAACATGCATGAATGATTGAGTTTTCACATTCAATAATACTACGTATATT